AATGACGAATCCAGGAGCATGGAGTCTCGGCGTGAGATACTAAATGGATATTGTTGTTAAAGAATGCGTAGGTTGGCCCCGCCCCCTCCCGGCAGCCGCCGGTCCTGCAGCAGTGCAGCCGCGCGGGGGGCGGGGCTTGAGGGCGGCTGTGCGCCTGCGCGGTGGCTGCTCGCGAGCGGTGACAGTTGGAAGCGGCCGCACAGCGCGGGACGGGGCGGAGGGGCAGCGGGTAAGGCCTCGAGCCCGGCGGGGGGGCGGGGGGCCGTGAGGTACCAGTCCAGGCTCTCCCCGCCCTCCCTTAACTGCCGTCCCCTTTCCCCTCACTGTAGAGACCGCCCCCCCCCCCCCCCGAGCTCGGGCCTTCACTGAGTGACCGACTGACGGAGGGAGAGGTCGGGCCTCGCGCGCGGTGTGTGAGGGACTCGCACACGGCAGCGCCCCGAGGCCCCGCTCCCCTCCCGCATAACAACAACGACAGCAACAACCGTCCCGAACGGTGACCCGGTCCTGGAGACCGTCTGAAAGCGCTTCACAGGATACACCGGAAAGTGTAGTGACTGTGTGTAATGTGCGGCAGCCGATTGCGCCCCAGCGACGGCCCCACCAGCAGTGCCGGACTGAGTGACCACATTATTATTATTATTATTGTTAATAAATATTATTTTAACTTCTGCTCCGAAGCTTAATCCCCCCCACTCCCCCCCCCCCCCCCCCCCCCCGGGCAGGAGGCTGCCTCCCCCTGTGGCGGACAGTGACCAGTGGTCTGGGTGACACGTGTCCGCTGTGACCCACCTTTTGACCCATGTTTCCCGGTGGCAATCGGTTCGGGTCCCGAAGCCGCGACGGCAGCGTCGTGTCTCAGAATCAGAGCGGTGTTCCAATGCGGTGCTGATTTCATGAACTCCTTCCAGTGCGTTCAGTTCCATGTTTGGACCTTTGCCCACGTTCGTCTCAATTAAAAATATCATTGTGTCAGAAATCAAATGCAGATCTGAGCCATCCTCACATTTGCCCCCTTGTGTTTTTATTTTAGTTTGACTCTGAGGCTGACCGGGTGCTGGTAAATCTCTCTTGAGATTTTACCCCCTGTGAAGGGCGCTACACAAATGCAACTTTACACATAAATACAAGCATCACTTGTCTCTTAAACTTTATACAAAATGCGGATTCAAAGTTTTACCCAATCTTGGTCATATTTAGACTTCCCTTAGTTTCGCAAACTCCTTCCATCATAATAGTGGTTTTGTTGAGTCAACTTCTCGATAAAGCCTTTTTTTTAATGGAAATTAGTACAGTATTAGTTACATATGGCGAACTGAGTGGCAAGAAATGTGATGCCAAAGAAAGAAAAGTAATTGTGAATTTACACGACTTACCTTTGGGGTGGGGAGAAAGTTTGCAGAACTCTCACGGTGGAATTAATTCCTTGCGATCTGTGGCCTCTTGTTCAGTGGTTTCAAGTTTTAGTTGACCGATTGGTTGACACTATTTTGCTGTGTGGTCAGTCCCTGCCGTTCTTGTAACGGAGAATTTTGGTATGAAAAATAATGAAATTATCGTCAAAAAAGATTTTTTTTTAGAGTGTCAAACCAATAAGAAAAGCTAGAGCATTTCCAGGTGGTTCCTTTAGTCTTTACTGCCACTGTGATTAAATAGTGTGATACAATATCATGGTGAAACTTAAGTATGATACGCCATAGAATAAATGTGAAGAAAGTCTTATGATAGCTGCAATGTGACATCACATCCTTAGTGATTGTTGCTATCCAATATATTGGGAGTTGGTACAATATTGTAATCCTGCAGCTGTATGTGATGCTAAGGATTATGTTTGAAACTCACCTTGAATTTGGTCTTATCAGACACCTGGCAAAGGTAGCTTGCAAAAAGACGCTTGGTGAAGGAGACTGATAAAAAGGTGCTCAGAGGTGGCATAATATCTGAATAAATATATATTGAATTTTGCTTTTAGCTGCTGTTTATTATTCGTTATTTAGATACTGAGCAAAAACTATGAAATGGGAATACTTGAGTATGGAAGACTCCGAATGTGAATCACATGGATGCACTATGGAGTAAATCTAAGCAATAATTTTGACTCCCAATATTGTTTATCTGTTTACTTTGCATTGAAATATTCAGCCAATTTGTCTGTCTAAATACAACAGCATTTTATATGTGAATATTTATGCTTGCTGTTTGTTTTGCCCAATTATAATTTTCTTTTGTGGGGAAGCCCTCAAACATTGCTATATTATTTTCTTGAATAATGATATACATTGGTGCAAAAACACTGATTGGTAATTTCAAGGAGAATTTTATGATTTCATTTAACTAATTCTAGTAGTCACAAAGAAACTTTGTCTTGGGTTAACATAAACAATAACATTCTGTATTTGGATTCCCCTCTTGTAATATTGTATTCATCAATAATCTTATTTATAAAATTATGGTTCTTTAAAACAGTTTATTTCTTCACAAGTATTCGGACAAAATAGAAATTCGGTACCACATCTTACATACCACCAAAAAATGACATCAAATATAACAAATTTATTTCAGGATGTCATTTCTCATGTCACAGGTATCTAATTTAGACAGTTTGATAATGCTGTTTTGTGTCAAATGTCTCAAAATATCTCAGGGACAATGAATAAGGCTATTCATCCTGCTCTGCATTGCTGATGTAATACATGCTGTGTCAATGCTGTACCACATCGTATTGTACCTGTATTACATACAGATCCAGATGTCCTGAAGCCTGGTATTACTGAGTCAAACTGCATTGTAATTACAATTCTTTGCTTTGTATTTAAGTTGAATCATGACCGACACAAATGTATCTCCATTGAAGCACTTTGTTCAAGCGAAAAAGAAGATTAATGCAATCTTTGAACAGCTGCTGGCATATGTTACTGAAGGTGCAGGCTTTATTGAAGGTAAACTGTCGATACAGTCCGCTGTTTCTTTAGGTGTTTAATAATCGCTAATGGATTGCAAAAGATAATCTTAGGGTAATGTTGGTCCTTGTAACTTGTGGACACCATAGTTGTAACTGATTGTTGGTGTGCTTGAGATTGAAAATGATCTATTTTCTGTTATTCCTTGGTAGAGACTGTTTAGTTTATAAAGCTTGTAACTAGATCATTCTGAAGCAGTTGTGATAGTGGTATGTGCTAATTATCAACTGTTATAACTTCAGATGTTTGTTAGGAATATGCAATCCACTGAATGAAAAGTGATGTAATAGACATAAAAACAAACCCCAGGCTAACAGTAAGATGATCTCTTTGTGGTGTTTTAAATACTTTAGAATCTCATCAAAATAAAGGACCAGATCAGATAGCAACTGAAGAGCAGTTGGAAAAGTTAAAAACATTTGCTTCTAAAGTGGGTGGAATCAGTGAGGTGCTGGCACGGCGACACATGAAAGTGGCATTTTTTGGAAGGTGAGTTGCAAAGATTATTTCCTGTTTGTTTTTTCAAAATCTTCATGAGTGTTAAATGTTGATGCCATCTAAAGCTCTGCAAATCTGTGGCATTATTATTTCTCTGCCCACTCTTTGCAGTCTAGGTGAAGTTTTACACAAATGAGTTGTGCACTAATAGCTTTTGCTTTCTAAAATATAATGTGGGCAATCCAAGTCTTTTGAATTCTATCTTATGCAAACAGATTTTGAAAGACTTTTCCTGCTCACACCCTCTTCTCCCATAATGAACAGTTATTATTTTACCTTGAATTTCCCATAGAACAAGCAATGGGAAGAGCACTGTAATCAATGCAATGCTATGGGATAAAGTATTACCCAGTGGAATTGGACACACAACCAACTGTTTCCTCAGTGTTGAAGGAACAGATGGGGATAAAGCCTATCTGATGACTGAAGATTCTGAGGAAAAAAAGAGCGTGAAGGTGAGGGCTGTGCTGTATAGAATGTATTGCAGGTATAAGTGTCAGTGGAAACTCCATTAAAGTATATTAAAAGTTAGGATGAGTTTTACAGATTAACAGTATTTCCTGTAAATATAATACCATACAAATTTTCATTTATATAGCGCCTTTTGTATCAGGAGGACATCCCAAAGTGCTGGAAACTAGATTTGGCATGCTAGAATTTCAAATTACTTGACTTAAATAGTTCAGAATTGTACTGACTTTTACGCAGCATTCTTTAGGTGATTAGTATTTAGTAATGAAATGTAAATCTTAATGTTAAACATATATAAGTTGGTGTTAAACATATACGTTAAGATAACTGCTTCTTCCTGCAAAGGGAGGTTATTTTTCTTTAAAAATTAACATGAAACTTTTTATTGCTGGAGGAGAAAGGGGTTCCTCAGAAGCTCCACCTGCATTTGATATTTCAGAACATTTGATGATATTATTGTACAGTAATGTATATTTCTCTGCTTTCAGACTGTGAACCAGCTGGCACATGCTCTGCATCAGAATGAATATTTGGATGCTGGATGTCTTGTTCGTGTTTTCTGGCCCAAATCAAAATGTGTTATACTCCGAGATGACTTGGTGTTGATGGATAGGTATGTGATGTAGAAAACTAGAATTTCAAATTGATTGACTTAAAGAGTTAGAGTTGTACTGACTTTTGCGCAGCATTCTTTAGGTGACTAGTATTTGGTAAAGAAACAGAATTATATAGATATTAATAGAAATTTTAAACTAGGGTCTAATTTCTACTTTAGTATGCACTAGAGTGTTTAGCTCATATTCATTATGTAATTGTAATTGTAACTGAGGCAATATGACCATCTGTAGGTTGTTGCAGATTTTTATATTTTGATCAAGTCCTTTGTTTTTCTCAAACACTTACTGATCTCTCTTTCTACAGCCCTGGTACCGATGTCACAACTGAACTGGACACCTGGATTGACAAGTTCTGTCTGGATGCTGATGTCTTTGTGCTAGTGGCAAATTCTGAATCCACGCTCATGCAAACTGTAAATAAATCAGAAATTATCTTAATGTTCAATAGTTGCTTCCCAAACTGTTCTAATCCTGTAAAATTAATACTACTGGCTTTACTTTTGATTTTCTGTGAATTTTAAATATAACAAACTACCTTCCAGTCACCATTCATAAGTTGGAAGTCCTGTACCACAGACCCAGCAAATCCACAGAACGTTCAGTGTTAAATTTGAAATGTTTTTTTTAGGTTTGGCTGCAAACCTGAATTCAAAGATGTATGAAAAAGAACATTTTGGCTTCAGAATAGCGTGAACATATAAGTTTTTTGTCACTTTCAGGAGAAACAGTTTTTCCATAAAGTTAATGCACGCCTTTCAAAGCCCAACATTTTCATTCTGAATAATCGCTGGGATGCCTCTGCTTCTGAGCCAGAATACATGGATGAGGTAAGTTGTTGATGGATGTTGTTATTGGAGAAATACAGGGATGCAAAATATTTCAATTTCATTATTGCGCATTACTGGCTTGTGGTGCTTATTGAACACTACATAACAATTACTGAAATATGAACGCATTTGTGTGAACATGTTACATTTGCAGTTTGTATATTTACTGCTATTATTCATATGTAGTATACAAAGTAAAATGAAGATGATAGTTTTAACCAATTTAGATTAATTCTAGAAAATAACAATGACCTAATAATGAAGCTGTTGGTGTATGGCTCAGGTGCGCCAGCAGCATACTGACCGCTGTATCGGTTTTCTCGTGGATGAGCTTCGAGTAATGGATCGGCGGCAAGCTGGGAATCGCATCTTTTTTATTTCAGCCAAGGAGGTTCTGAATGCACGAGTTCATAAAGCACAAGGGATGCCAGAAGGTGGTAAGTCCTGTGGTTTAGTTGTTTTAAGACTTTCTGGATCTCCGAAGTCTTGTACATAACTACAATGTTGTAAATTTGTCACTGAATGTTATTCCATTTTTTTTTCTTAAAGATGAATTTCTAAAATACCTCTTTTTTCCATATCTCTTTAGTCAATCAACCTAATACCACTGGTGCCAACTGACTATTTAGTGATTGTTTTATGGGAGGCTGTATGATTTTTAAAAAATATTTTGGGATTGCATCAAATGATAGTTACTTCCACAATATTTAAACTTTGTTTAAGATTGGTTGTCTGACAGTTCTGTACAATTGTTTCAAACACTGATGTATAGAACCTATTCCCATTATAATCCTGCCAGATACAGCAATCAGCAAATGGGTTGGTGTACATTGTTTTATTTTCCCTTTAGAGTTCAAATTTTTATGATACCATAGTTATAAATAAATGTTTTTGATTTTCTTTTTTAAATCCTGCATTCTTGTTCTTCAGGTGGTGCATTAGCAGATGGGTTCCAGGACAGACTTGTTGAATTTCAGAATTTTGAGCGGCGGTTTGAGGTAAATAATCTATGGGTATATTTTAATAGGCTGGTAATTGTTGATGCTTTTAAATGCATCACTTTACAATCTGATTCTAAATGCAATAGACTTTGTGTCTATGTAAGAAATGTCAGTGGAATTTCTTTGATAATGTCTTGTGTCATTTGAATGCATTAGACTTAGACTTGTATACAAGCTAAATATGTATTTTGTTTCAACTTTTTATATTACTGCACATTTCTTATTTTGTAACCGTTATGCCTCCTCAAGCCTAAACTGTGCTTAGCTCCAAAAGTACGTATTGCTGTCTCCAAATCTTAGATTTGCAGTTATAACTTCTGGTTAGTTGAAAAGTACATGTGCTGAGCTTTTATTTAGTAAAAAATAATGAAGTTATTACGTTTGTGATGTTATGAATATCTTGAATTTGAGTAAGAATAGCAAAAGTTAAGTATGATTTTAAATGTATAAAATTTGTTTTTCTCCTTTATCTCATAAAATATATACTGCATTCATGATTAGGAAATGTAAATTTAACTTTGCAACATACTTACTTTAGATAACTTCAATAATTCAACATTGTAAGATGATATACGTACAAAAGTATTTTAGGACATCCTCCTGATGTGAACGGTACTATATAAGTGCAATTTGTTGCTGTTGAAATAGTTACTGCTATATAGGTTTAAATTGAACTTCCAGAGAAAAGCACTAAATAGCTTTTTATTTCAAATATCTTTTTAAGGAGTATGTTGCTAAAATATACGAGGAAGTTTTACATAAGTCTTGAAAACATGGTATTGCAACAATTTCATTATGCACTAATTGAATTCATTGTATATTTATAATATTTGTAACCGTTGGTACAGTGTACAATGTTCTTCTGTCTTTGGTCCTCTCCTCTTCAACCTGTACATGCTCCCCATTGGTGACATCATCCACAGACATGGGGTCAACTTCTACATGAATGCGGATGACACCCAACTCTATCTCTCTGTCTCCACCCTCAACCCCAGGACCACTGATGTCCTGTCAGACATCAACTCCTGGATGAGAGACAACTTTTTACAGTTGAATGTTAGCAAGACCAAGGCCCTCCTGATTGGCTCCCACCAGCGCCTCCACGCCTCAGGCACTGGCAGCATCACCATCCACAGATGCACACTCCACCCCACCAATCCAGTCAGGAACATAGGCGTTTTGTTTGACCCTCAACTGTCCTTTCTCACACACATCGGTGCCATGTCCTGCTCTGCTTTCCCCCATCTCTGCAACATTGCCAGACTCCACCACTGCAAGCTGCAAAACCCCCATACATGCCTCCATTACAATCAGGCTTGACTATGCCAAGGCCCTGCTTGTCGGCCTCCCCAACTCTTCCCTCCACAAGCTGAAGATCACCCAGAAGCTGCAACTCATGTCCTCTTCTGCGCCAGGCTCCATCACCCCCACTCTTATCCGGCTCCCCATCCTTCAGAGGATCGAGTTCAAAATTCTCATCCTTACCTTCGGGCCTTCAGCCTCTCTTCCCTCACCTTCTGGAACTCCATCCCACATTCCCTTCGCCTCGCTTCCTCCCGTGCCTCCTTCAAGGCGCATCTCAAGACTCTCCTCTTTGACCGTGCCTTCAGCCACCCTCCTATCTCCACCCTCCCTGATCCCAGCCCCCACGCGCTCCCCGCTCGGATCTTAATCCCTGACTGTGCAGTGCCTTGGGATGTCCTCCCAACGTGAAAGGCACTTTACAAATATTGTATTGTGTAGACGATCGTTGATAAGTACTGGGTTTCTGCTTCTTTAACCTTTTTCTTTTCTTCTGGAAACTAATACTAAATAATGAAATCACCTAACTCTTAGTTTCTCATTGAGAAGCTGTTTCTTCTATCCCACAGCTGTCCCTTAGTGCTCCTTAATTGTGTGTTTATTAATCAACCTTTTGCATTCATTGCTGAAGTCTAGATGTGCTTCAGTGAGATGCTCTTAGAAATGCTACTTTCCTTTTCATTCCTTATTTTTCCACCCTTGTATTCTTTTCTGTTTGTTTATTTTGATTAAAATTGCATTGGATAAGGGTACTGAATTTTACTAGTTTCCTAATTTTGGTTAAGAAGATAGAAGTAAAACAATTTATCAATTTATACATGTGATTAGGAAAGTACACTTTTGATTATACTGGACAGAACAATTTAGAACAAAACACATAGAAAGGCTTGTGGCTGATTTTAGTCCTTGCTATTTATGTGACTTTTTTTGATGTGTGCGTAGAAGCATGATTGCTGATACTCAATCGCACACAGAATCTAAATGAATTAAGATATGCATATTCTCTGACTTGTAAGTTGATAGTAAATTGTAGATGTTCAATCAGTCATGGAAATGCTGCTATAATTTAGTGGTAAGTGACAGGCCTTTAGTTTACGTTCACATACTTAGTGTAAGATACATTTGGCCTAGATAATCATTTTATGCATGAGCTTATTTTTGTTGAGACTAACACGTTACTGTGAATAGAAATTTTGTCAGATACTGTCTTGCTACTGTTTATGCATATTTTTGTTTGGGCGTTTTTGCTTTTCCACTTGTGAAGTTTATGATTTTGCACATTCCTAATTAACAGCAGCAAGTTTGTATCTGACAAGCTCTTTATATATGTCTACACCAAATAATATGGGGTTCACAGTAATGTGTTCCTGCTTGGGTCTCGCAGGAGTGTATCTCGCAGTCAGCAGTGAAAACAAAATTTGAGCAGCACACAATCACAGCTAAACAGATCATAGACACTGTGAAAAACATCATGGACTCGATCAACGTGGTTGCAGCAGATAAAAGGTAGGGGGGAAAAATCTGCACAGTGGTTTGATTTATCTACAAAGGATCATTTCTCAACATTACAAAGAAACTTAACCTGGCTTTTTATAAATTTTGGGTGGAGGATCGAACTGCAAGTTGCCTTCTACATTTGACTGACTTGTAGTTTATCTCAAGTTATTTAAACATTAGGAAAAATGTCAATTGTTAGTACAGATTAATTTTCTCCATTGCTCTCAATTCCTTTTATTTTAAGGTTTATTCATGATCTAGTTTTAACAACAAAATTTGGTCAGATCATGGCCATTTTGAATGCTGCTGTTAATCTCAAATATACCTGTGTCAAACCAGTAATTCCTCTTTAGTCATTATCACATATAGACCAGATGTCTTCATATGAGGAGAGAAAAGAAGGCATAATGTCCTTTTATGAATTTTGTCATGCGCATTGGTGACCCTCCCACTTAGATACAGTTTGGGCCTTATTCTGACCAGATTCTCAATCTTACTCCCACTATCAAACACACTTTAAGATGCTCGTCATTTCATAAGGTGGGTTACACTGTGTACTGGTGCAGCTGTGAGAATTCTAGATTTTCTTTGGGGGGAAAGAACTACAGATACCATGCTTTTTTAATGTATATGTATGTATCTGATTAAAAATTAGTCATGGTTAAATTGAGTACTTAAATACATATGTTTTATTGTTTACATGATGGATTTCTATTCTAGTGTTTTTGGGACACCTCCTAAGCATCCTTTGGCTAGGAGATTTTATTTTCAGTAAGTGGTGGATGGAGTATATTATTGGGTGATCAAGAAGCAAAAATTAAATGGAAAGTGTAAAACTTTCCTGGATGTACTTTAAAGTTCCCATGTTCCTAATATGAAGAGATGGCATCAACTAATTATGATATAGTCACAATTCTAACTAATTCTTTGCGTTATAGAGTGTGTTCCTTGGAGGAGCGAGAGGACTACAAAGACCGACTGGAGTTTGTGAAAAACCAACTGATTCTACTAACTGAAGAATGCAAGAAGAAGATAAAGCTGGTGGCATCAGAGGTACAAGATAAGGTAAGAGCTGATAGAAAATGTTCTTCCTACAAAATAAGTGACATTTACATAAGGTGTCAATATTGTTTCTCTAGATTATTACATTTGATCTATCTAGTGCTTTATCACATTGTCAAGACACTTCAAAGTGTTTTACAGGATATGCTGTAAAGTAGTGTGAATATGTATTGTGTGGGCAAACAGCAGCCTATTTGTGTAAAGCAGCTTCCCAGTGTATTTCTCTGCAGGCTCCACACTCAGATAAAAAGCAATTCTTCAATTGCATTCTGGGTTCATAACAGTAATCCTGCTGCAAACAGGAAAATTTTGATTCTTTGACTTGTTAGAATTCAGTATCTCTGGTTCTTAGCTGAAGGAACATGTTTTGGGTAGAAGGCTTAAAATAGTGGATTGGTCCCAGAGTCTCCATTTGACAGTTTAACCTTAGAGTTGCACAATCCTAATTATGTACAAAATATTACATGCTCGTGAAAGTATCTAATGAGCTTCCAGAAAACTTTCCATTTTGAAAACTTCAACTAACTCAAAACAAAATAGTTTTTTGTAATTCAAAACTGGATTTCTTGGTTTTCAGCTTGATGTCCTTCCATCTATCTTAAGCCTACATCTCTTAATTCAAAAACAAAGTACTATTGATTTTTTTTTGTCATTTATCTAATTGAATTCTTGGAAAAGCTTGAAATGAATGAGTACATTTTCTGTCTGGTTTTGTTATTTAAACATGAACCCCTTGCGCTTTTACACTGCTAGTTAATCTATCTAATCTCTGTTTTAGAATAGGTCAATTATTTTAAATAAAATAAACCTGTTTAGTACTGTTCACATTAACATGAAACATATCTTGTATTTCAGGTTTCCAATGCAATGACTGATGAAATTTGCCGCCTTTCTGTATTAGTTGATGAATTTCACGCTGATTTTCATTCTTCTCCACAAGTCTTGAAGCTTTATCGAAGTGTGAGTGAGAATCTTTTCATTTGTGGCAAAATGTTTTGTCTTAAAATCTCTCATTTTATCAAGATAATGTAATTACTAAAGTGTGTATATAAAATGTATTTTTCCAGGATTTGCACAAGCACATTGAGGAAAGACTAGGCAAGAACCTGGCTGGTCGGTGCTCCAGTGCAGTCAGTGCCTCCCTGCAGACGGCACAGCTTCAAATGATAGGTGTGTACGCTGAAAGCGTGTTTGGTCTTTGTGATTTAACGGCAGCAAATTCCACAGTTCAGATATTTATCAGTGTTCGTTGAACAGATTAACTGGGAGAAGAGAAAGCAGGAAAAGGTCAATACCACAGGTTCATCACCAGGTGTCTTGTTCAACTAAATTTAGGATCAGCAAAAATAGCAAATTCCAATTAAATGAAGGTTAATAAAGCAGAACAACATCCCGTGCCTCCCAGTGAAGCCACGCTCCTGCACAGCCAAATCAGTTAAATCTCCAGACTTTGCTAAAGTTAAATGGTGCTTTAACTTTTCCATTAAAACTCAAAATAGATTTGTAGCTTTTATAATTTAGTGCAGTTTGAAGTACGATAACTCGTATTCTACAACTACAAATTGTCAGTCTTTTACATATTTTTAGTGTCTTATTTGAATGCAGAGCTTTGATCAAGCTGCTTACTTGTTATTTTGCAGACAATCTCAAGCCTTTACTTTCTTCAGAAACTCAGAGTCAGAACAATATATTTCTACCATACCGAAGGTTTGATCTTAGTTATGATCTGAATTGTGATCAGATATGTGCAGATTTCCAGGAAAATGTTGAATTTCATTTCTCACTCGGTTGGGCATCGCTGGTCAATCGTTTTCTCGGTCCAAAGAATGCTCGCGTGGCCCTGCTGGGATTAGATGAGCCAAGTTTTCAGGTATTCTCTTGCACTCTGTAAATTGTTCATTTGTCTTTTGCACAAAAAATTCTCCTTCATATCAATTAGTTCAAATGTTAAATTTTGCAAAACTGATTTGTGTTAAAATTGTCTTACTTTAGAGCAGTATTTTCTCAGTGCTTTTATTCCAGAATCCATTGAAAGGGAACAGTGTATTTTGAGGGTAAATTATTCCAACTCTGTTGTTCTTTCTCAGCTCTCTCTCAGTCGCGCACCAGCTGCAGCTAAGAGGGAGAACAGGTCATTGCTACCCAAGCAAATCCAGTCACACCTATTCTCTGCTTTGTGGTTAAGCTGTATAAAGCAATTGCTGTTAGGCAAGAATGGAGTAGTACAATTTACCTACACTTGTTTTATCATTCAGTTTCAAGCACTGAAGTGAAATTGAGCCATTGAAAACTAGAATGTCACTAGGATGTTCACTGGATCCCTGGTCTGTGCTAATATCAAACATGATAATGACATGATTCTTTAAGAGTGACCGGCATAATAATCCTTGCATTTGACACAGCACCTTTTCACGTCTTCCAAGACGTCTCAAAGCGCTTCACAGAGTACACTGTAAAGTGATTTGACTGTATATTTTGCATGACGTCAGAAAGCCAATAGATCTGCATGGAGAGTTTTTAAGATCCCTACTACTAAAATATTCAATGTAATGAGTCTCTCAATGGAAAATATGCGTGGTAAAGATTCTAAAGTTGTGAATAATCTTATAAATACTTGTATTTTCATATTATAGATTCCTCGACCTCTATCCACTCCAACTGCAACTAATGTACCTCTGCTTGCTCGGGAAAACATTGCACAGGAAGAGCTAATGATATCCCTAGTTACTGGGTTAGCTTCTTTGACATCACGAACTTCAATGGGCTTTCTCGTTGTTGGAGGAGTGGTAACAATTTTTTCTTTAATTTTGTGGCAATATTATCATAATAATCCTACAGTGCCTTTCAAGTCAGGGGGATGTTTCAAAGTGCTTCGCAGGATTACAGTTGGAACCATAACATTTAATATGATTTCTGCAAAGTCTGAGTTGCAGGCAAACTGTATGTCATATAAAATCTGATTAAATCAATAATCTACACTGCGCATTTGTGTAATATAATGCTGCCAGTAAATGTGCATGTGGTGACTAGTCAAAACTATCTTAAGTACTCCAAGACGCTGCCCTGTGTGAAGGGCATTGTATATTAGCGCGGCAGCTAATTTGGCCCAGCATTGTACCAGAAATAGCCATGAAATGAACGACCAATTTATCTGGGATTGTTGGACAGGAGAATAGTGCTATGGGATCTAATGCCCGTCTGAATAGGACCCTCTAGCCAGAGGTTATAAATCGAGATGTCCAGAAGATGTGAAAAGCGCTTCATCAAATGCAAGGATTATTTTTTATTTATTATAAATAAAACTGCAATATAATAGTATATATTGGCTTTTACCTTAGATTTTCAGAACTGTGGGCTGGAGACTTGTAGCTATTGCTGTAAGTCTTTACGGTCTGTTGTACGCATATGAACGTTTGACATGGACAACTAAGGCCAAGGAGAGAGCGTTTAAGCGTCAGTTTGTGGATTACGCTACGGAGAAACTGCAAATGGTTGTTAGTTTTACAAGTGCAAATTGTAGTCATCAAGTCCAGCAGTAAGTATATTTTACCATTTTTTATGCTATAGGGGCAGGTGGCCTAATTTAATGGCCTAGTGAATTAATTAACAAATAGAGCATTTATATGTAAGCAAACAGACCAGAAGGTTATAAGTTTAATTCTCAGTTTGCTCAGCAAACTGATCTCAGAGACAGCATTTGGGAAGTTATAATAGGCTTCTGGACAAAGGAGAAAATCAGCCATCCTTCCTCATTTACAAGTAGCATGATTGTTGTTTGCCCACACAGTGACTGCTTTGATGTAGGACATTTGAAACTGGTCATAAGAAGATGAGTTAAATTTCTGACCTATCTTTTTTTCCCAACTTGACTACATTCTTAGAGAATTGGCTAGTACCTTTGCTAGGCTATGCCAGGAGGTCGATTGCACTCAGAAAAAATTGGAAGAAGATATCACCAGCCTCAGCACAAAGATTGAATTCTTAGAGTCACTACAAAAACGATCAAAACTATTGAGGTAATGTTCTTTGGCTGATGTTTGGCACATGATTTTATTCTCAAAATTGTTTTCAGTCTAGTAGTTCTTAGGTGAAAGCACAATCATTATATTAATATTTTGATTCTTTTACAACCCGTTGTCTAGAAAGGGCAGAAAAAAAACTTTTTCAAACTGTTAAATCCCTTAAAATTAATTCTAATCTCTACAGCCAATATGGAACCTCGTTGTCCTGATCAACCCTCAACTCCCCGATCCCACAATATCACTCGGCTCTGCCACTGTCTCACACTGCAGGCCACCGAGACCCTCAAACACGCATTCATAACATCGAGGCTCGACTATGTAAACTCCCTGCTTGTCGGTCTCCCCAACTCCTCCCTCCATAGGCTACATATCATTCAGAACTCTGCAGCCCGTGTCCTCTCCCGCACTCGGCTCCGTGACCCTATCTCCTCGCCCGACTCCACTGGCTTCCCATCACACAGAGGATACAGTTCAAGATCCTGGTCCTCACCTTCAAAGCCCTCCATGGTCTTGCTTTCCCCAACCTCTGCGACCTCCTAACCCCCTACCATCCTGCTCGCTCCCTCCACTCACCAGGCTCCGGTCTGCTTCCCGGCTCCTGCCTCGTTCGCCCCACTATTGGCAGGCGGGCTTTCCGCCACTCTGCCCCCACCCTCTGGAACTCCATCTCGTAGTCCCCCTGCCTCAGCCTCTCCCTCGCCACCTTCAAGACCCTCCTCTTCGACTGCCTTTCCCTCTACCCTCCCCAATCCCGACCCCCAGCTCGGGTCTGATATACACATGTAATTTTGTTGTAATCGAAGCAGAATTGTATCTTAGCTCCATTAATCACCACTCTTTCCTGACTCACTGTCCCACACGGAGATGCCAATATTGTGTTGGTATGTTTGTGTTCCAAAATTAACATCGCTGTCCTTAAGAAATCAACATTCAACATCTCCAGCATTACAGTTGCATATATTTTATGCCATGGAATGTTTGACTTAAGAGATACATGTAGTCTTTACATGTATTTGTGTATCAATGTTAGTAAACCTATGCAATTTATAAATCTATATAAATCAGTCTTGCATACTGGAAACATAAATTATACATAGCTCCTACCTGCACAAAAATATTTGTTCCAAGGTCAAGGTATATTGCCGTATACATGTCTAATGAAGTTTAGCAGTCAGTGGAAGTATTTTGTGATGTAAAAGCATGTTGGTCTTATTCCAGACTGTTTATTAACAAGAGCAAAATATTGCTAGCTGAATTTGTGTTCGATTTCAAAAAAGCTAGTAATTTAGCATTGTAACCTTGCATTAGCTAGCATTTAATAATGAAAATATTTCTGATACACATCTATTCTCGATACTTTTTCTTGCAGAAATAAAGCAACGTGGCTAGAAAGTGAAATGGACCTCTTTACAAAACAGTACCTCGAGCAGAGCCAGTAACAAACTGAGCATATATATATATATATGACCTAAAGCAGCTCTTTCAATGATTGTCATCAATTTTGTGGTACATTATCGGTTGCTATAGTACTGTATGAAAAATACAAACCTCTAGTAGCCTTTGTACAGTTCTTTTCTAGAATCCTATTTAGAAATTTGACCCGATGTGGGTAAAGATGGTCATGGCGATTTATCAACACTAACCAAACCTTTTCTAAAGAGATCACTGCTGATCTTTGATTTTCATGCAACCAGTCAGGGAACTGTACAAAATTCCATTGCATTTTGCTTATCTCTGATTCCCCCCCCCCCACTCCTCCAACAAATGAACCTATGAATGACATAGTCTGTGCACTTTGATCTGCTGAGTGATTTGTGTGGATAACTCAACAGTATCATGAAACCTGAAAAATTGCTAGAAATTTGTACAAATATCAAAATATGATCAATATAAAATGTTGAATTTGACAATCATTTCAGTCGTTAGGATCTATTTCCTTGCCTTTTTTTAAGCATAAGTCGTATATTACATCTCAATCCTACCAGGTATGTCACATTCAGTATTCAGATAGAGAAACCAGAAGAGATTTATAACATGCATGTTATGTGGATACAATGTGTATTTGAGGGAAACTAACCCTAAATTCAAAGTAACTGATGGTCAAAAAGGTAAATTTAAAATCACTTTCTGAACAAATTCTATACTGCCCCCCCCCAAAAAAAAATCCTGCATCAGAATATTTATTATTTTTGTCAGGGAGGTACTTGTGTTGGTATAAACCACTGATCCTATGCTTGTGGTCAAGGTTGATACTGGGGAAAGCAAAGCAAAATAAATCCAGTCTAATTGGCTATTACCAGTTATAAAAACATGCAACATTTACTGAACCGTTGTTTCATCAGGTACTTAATGCCAAAAATGGGAAAGTATTTGTGAATTAGTCAAACTAAGTTGATGCGTTTCATGCAAAGTGTGAGAGACCTAAGGAATATTCTGTTTTGCTTTTGGTCGGGGGTGTTAAACAATGATGATCAAGTAACTGCTTGGTCCAATATCAACCCTGACAATCTACTTCCACCTAACAATCTACTTGTAGTTCCAAGCTGGCACAATGATGGGTAATTGTGTAATTAATACAGTGGTCATTGCTTTATTTACAATTCAGACAAGGTTTGAATTGGTATAATTTGCAGTTCTATTGTAAGTGGGTTGGAGAAAATTCTTTAAATGAAGGGATTTTGAACTTGCTCAAATCTTGTATAGAATGTTTAGATGTAAATACCAAAATTTGAATATTTCTTAAGCATTTATATTTTGACTTTAACCCTCAAGTTAATCACTTTAAACATTGTAAGTAAAGGTCTATGGAAAGGGCTTTAATCTATTTTGTACATTAGAGGTTTTAACTGGTGCATGATTTTTGTAAAACAACTTAAATTTTTCTCCATTTCTTGTTCTGGAAGGATCAAAAATGGCATATGAAAGAATTGCTGAAGTATTTTCTTTGGTTGTACATCTGCTGTATAATTTGGTAATAAATTTCAAATGTAGCCTGCAGTGATTTTTCCTCTTAAAAGAACAGATGAAGTGATTTTCAGCAATCACTGTCTGAAATAAGCAAACAATTAACAAGGTGAATTTAGTGGTACATTGTATATTTAATGAATCTAAACTGTCATTTGCAATAATAAGATCTAACATAACAGCAATTCGAGAGCCTTGTCTGAATACATCACACATTGGGTGTTTTCATGAGTTGGTGCAACATACTTCTGGATTAAGGAAGCCAGTGATTTAAAGATTGATTGCATGTTATACAATTAACTTGTGTGTAAATTTTAAACAATGACAAATCATTTCAGAACTATCCCTATCTTGGTTAAAAGCATTTATTGGTTACAACCAAAATATGGCAACATCAGTTTCACTGAAGCCACTGTACAAATACAAAGAAAAGTTATGTGAAAACAGACTAATGAAAGAGCAAGTGGAGGTCATTTCAGATATTATACAGTAGCAATGTAGGAGGAAATGCATGGCACATGTCTTGTATTGGCCTTTGAAATTAACTTCATTTTAATAGGTACACAATTAACGGCAGTTTCAGAATTACTAACTAGTGATGCCCATTGCAGGAAGCGTATTGGATACACACTAGTTATGCAATTGTATTAACACTGATTTTTCTTAAATTATACACCATTTCTATTCTGCCAAATACATTTGCAATTAAACAACTGTCCATGCCCAGACTCAAGGCAACTTTGTATTAGGTTACAGCATTAACATTGTTTTTTTTCCTTCAAATACAGATTTTCTGCAATTCCTACCCCTGTACTAAGAGATTTAAGGAAAGAAATTTAAGTCAGCTTCAAAGGTTATGTGAATACTTTCACTTCATTAGAGGTCATCTTAATTAAATATATAAATCTTACTTACTGGCTTGAATTACATTCAAAATCTTAATACTGAAGCAAGATTTTGGCCAAATCTACATTTCTGAACCAAACCTCAAATACTGGCCATTGGGTGAAAGATGCTTTCACAGAATATTTCATAAAATGTACCAATTTGGGGCAGTTTAAGAGAACATTTTTAGAGGCATTGTATTCCACTGTTTTTTTTAGTCGTTGCTTCTGAATGCACCACAGTTTACACATTAAGGATAATTATTTTCTAAAATGTACAACTGGTTTGGTATTTGTGATTCACTGTAAAACAAATGAATATATAGAACAAATCAACACCTTAATCTGAATCAGCATTCTCAACTTCCAACTATTTACTTATGGCACATTAATTGTAATTGAAGGCCATTGCAAAATATAAAAATGTTCAAGCAATTTCTGTAAACGTTTGGCCAAGCTGATTACATAGTAACCCTTTCATGATCATCCATTTTGCTCTTTACATCACCACCATTTGCAGCAATGCACCTGGAAAGAGTTAAATGCATGTGTATAAAATGTTTATACCAGGTCTATAGAAATGAACAATTTAAGACAAAGGGTCACTTGAAGGATCTTAAACCAATAAATTAAATCAAAGCTAAAAGTTCTTGTTAAAAACTCCAGATGAAAATCTGTCTGACCTCAAGGAGCTGCACAAATAGTTCCTTAAAATCCAGGGCTTGAACCAGTCACATTTTTTTTAAAAAAAGCTATCATTCCTGCAATACAACAGGGCAGGGAGAAAAAGCTTACAATTCAGCCTAAGCATGTAGTGTTTCTATTGGTATTCAGGGCTTTAAACAATGCTAATGTCAAAGTTGTGCTCTTTAAAATGTACACAATTTGCTAATGTTGGCACATCGATACTGTAATTGAGGATTGGGGATCATTAGATTTATGACTTGTCAAAACTTTACTGAGGAGCATTCATGATATTTTGTACTAAATCAGCAGGTTTGTACAATAACCAGAACTTCAGTAACAGGCAGCTTGAGCTGTAGCAACTGGTCTCGGGGGGGGGGGGGGGTAGAGGAACCAAATCCCAATTTGGATTTTAATTGCCAATAGTGAAGTAAGTGCAGTTGCTATTGAATGTATTGCTGTGGAGCACAATTTTAATTTATAAATCCATGACTCAATTTCATAATTCACATTTCCAACTTGTGATTTCTACCTACGTCATCAATTACAATATTATAGAAAGGCCATTTTATACATTCATTTAAACAGCTGCTTTACTACAAGTGACAATTTCAGTGTTAAAGTACACACTGGTGACACAATAGTCTCTAGCTTTGTGGTTTGTAAAATTGAGGAAAAGCAAGGCTGCCTGGTGCTGCTGTAGGTGAATGCTGTGCTTATATTGAACCATACGGACCAGGAAAATTCCAGGTTCAATTCCTGGTCTGTTATGATTTCAATCAGAGAAGCAGTGGAGTAGTGGTGTTAGCCCCAACATCCAGGTGGGGAAGAGAGTGGGAGAGGGAGGAAGCCAATGCTCATCACCCTATGAGAAATCCACACTGGAAAGTGCACGTGTGAACATCAGGTAAAGCCATCCCTCCCTCAGTCAAAATAACCTGTCGCATTCACTGTCCATCCGGAAAATCAGTCACCAAGAATGGCCTCTTGCCAAAGAACCTGGAGACTACTGGCAGTCACAACCTTCACAACAGGAGAGGAGAAACTGGAGTGGGTGTGAGAAAGGAAGTTGGGTAATGCCTATTAATGCAAACCATTGCAAATGTGCCATGTGTTAGCCTGATATTAAAGGGCTGATAAACATGCAGTTTTAGTCAATGTGCAACAGCATTCAGTTTTGTGACTGACTTATCACACTTTCTATACATTTATGTAAATGGTTAAAACAGTGCACACTGCAAATGCATCCGTAAAAGTAAAGGAAGCATACACAGATGGAATGTTTGTTTGATAAAAACTGCTGCAAAAACCTTAAACATTATCAAGAGCACACGCACACACACACACACACACACAGACCAAGGCTAAATTTCACAGTAAGTTAATTCACAAGAGGAAAAAAAAGGCAATCAAATTATCCACCACTAAATTCAAAGTATGACTTTTCTGATAAATACAAGCTAGAAACTTAAGTTTTTTTTAAAAAAATGCATAATGTTTTTACAGACAAAATGTTACATGATTAACTGCTAGGTGTACATTCTGTATATACAAAACAATACAGATTAGCAGACTTTAGCATAAGCAAAAAAAACCTGAACAATTCTGAGGCATTAATCTAAACCAAACAGCAAACAAAAAAATGATTAGTTTCAAGCATTTTTTTCTAGTCACCATGGTTACATGTGCTAGTCCCTTTCAAAAGTCAGCAGTTGTCAGGTTTTTTTTTTTGCCTCTTCATTAATTTGCCTACTTTCAGAAGCCTTGTGTTATACAATTGTATTCAATGGATAGAAAAAAATGTCACCTGCAACTACTAGGTAAAAAGAATGATTTCATCGCTGCTGGTTACAGCAGAAATTCCCAGTCTCAGTGATCGGTGAGCAGATGACATAGCTTTAATTCCAGATTTTCAGGAAACTGTCCCATGATCCTGTTGCTACGGCCATTCCATCGTCAGTGATGCCTAAACAGCTGACACGATTGTCGTGTCCCGGAAGCACTCCTGGGGGTGGGAGGAAAGTTCAGATAAATGCAATGACACCAAGTTTGTCAACTTAAATTTGAGAGTATAAAGCAACAAATCTCTTCTGTGTTTTTACTATTTAATACTTGTGTTATGGTATAGAACTTTACCACAAAGTACAAGTGACTGAAGCACTTCGGGCAATTTGCTGTGACTTCAGAACTACAAGAAAAACTAGTTTTTTTAAAAAAATACTTATTGTGCTCATACACATGGGTATCCCAAAAATATGCAATTCCTAGATGATCATGTGACACAGACCAATCAACTGGCAGGTTTTATTTTGGACCAAACCCATATAGATTAAAAGGATCAACATATAAAAATACGAGACCAAAAGATTTACATTCTCAATCCACACTGTCTCATGTTAAACTGCATTACAAATTGATTTACAACAAACGAACATTGCATTCCTGTTGCATAACTAACTCCACGTTTGCAAAGAAAGAAAGTCGAACTGACCTGCACGATCTCCCTTCAAAGAGTCCCAGGCATTGCAGTTAAAGTCATCATAGCCGGCCAACAGGAGGCGACCACTTTTAGAAAATGCAACGGATGTGATGCCACAAATAATGTTATCATGAGAATACATCATCAGCTCCTGATCTGCTCGGAGATCAAACAACCGACAAGTGGCATCATCCGACCCAGTAGCAAATGCATTTCCATTAGGGAAGAACTGTGAACGGAAACAGATTACTGGACCATCAGCAAAGCACTACACAACACTAGGTAAACTGTACCTCATAGAAGATCAAATACTATCAATGCACTAACATTTAAATAGCTATTTCTATTAATACAGATTAATCGGTCACGAATATGTTTAGCCTGTTGTGTAATACAAACTATTTTTACAACTGTACAATTATTCACTACTATTCATTGGGCTTTACCTGAAATACGTAATGATCTGATCTTTTACCATTCAAAGAAAGTCTTAAATTATACTTGGGTTCAGCGCCATTTAAGGTACACAGAAAAGGTTTCTTTGTTCCTTGGAAAAGAACATTTTGCTCGTTTTAGATTTGTTTATATAATGTAATTCATGTACAACAATCATCTTTCTGAAACCAAACATTTTGGTGTTTAGTTCCATTGAGTTGGGGGCGGGTAAGGGGGGAGAGATACTTACACAGACTGCGTTAATATCAGACACGTGGCCAATGAAGGACTGCCGGCACATGCCGTCTCTAATGTCCCACAGTTTGGCAGAAGCATCACAAGCACCAGAAACAAATGTCCTTGTGTCAGGGCTGAGAGTCAGGCTCATGACATCCCCAGAATGGCCAGTGAACGAAGTCGTTTGATGACCTGTTTCAATATCCCAGAGAGCACTGCAAGTATGGAAGTAAAAGTCAATGTTTCCATTAAAGACATTTGCAGAGCTCCCTCCCGCAATTCTAGTCATCAGCAACTATCAGCATTCTTTCCTCACAGATATACACTGGTTTATGGGGCTGAAGCAAGGAGACGACAATCAGAAGGAGCATTATATAGGCTGCTCTCATGAACCAAGAGATTAATACAGAAGCAGCTTTGGCTGATATGTAAATCTGAAACTACTCGCTCTGGCTCCATTAACAAGGAGAAAAGCCTCAGGTGTTATGAAGCAATTTTGCCACCCCATTCTTTATCAATATTTAAGGTACACCAAAAGACTCACTAAAATGATTTTTTTGCATTACATATTGATGTATAAAAATGGCAATAATTTAGAACAATTACAATCTATCAAGCGTAAAAAAGAGCAATTTTTAAAATTCCCGCTGTGGGAATAGATTCTGCATACAACACAAAGCTAGTGAGCTACCAGACATGTCTTAATTCACAAGTTCATTCTGTCCAAAACATTTCCTCGATGATTCATAACTCACCAACTCGTATCTCCTGAACTGGTTACAATCTGGTTGTCGTCCAGAAAACGGCAGCATGACAAGTATCCTGTAAGGAAAGCAGACAAAACTGAACATCCTTCCACAACAGGGCAACGCTTCCAGTTTCTCTTCTGCATTTTGGGAAAGTGAAACAAACAACATACTATTGGGTACACAGAATGAAATGTCTCCAACCTGTTCAATGTTCTTCCCAGGCAGACTAACTGTTGTGGCAGAGGCTTTAGAGTTACACACTTCCGAACTACTGAATCGAGACTGTGAACATCACTCTCTTAAAAAAAACCTCACAGACATTTGCGACATCCACTGCAAGCCTTTGAAACAAATGCAACTTTCCAAAGGACGCAAGAAAAAGATTGTAATTATCACACGGCCTTTAAGGTCGATAGTCCCTGCTCTCCTAACTCATATTAACTGATCAAATTACAGATTTCTGTCCCAGTTTGTGATCTCACCTGTGTGTCCAGGCAATTCCCTGCTCACTCGAACGTTTCCCTCTCTAGTTTTCAAGCTATATATTGAGCAGATGTTGTCCAAACCACCACAGGCTACGTAGTTCCCAGACGGAGCATATGAACAGGTCATAACCCAGGACGATCGCAATGGGATAGCGTGCATCTTTAGAAAGACCAGAAAGTTCCATGTAGTTACAAATCTGACAGAGGCCTGTAATGACTTCAATCTGGTTTGACCATTTTAACTTTAAAACTACAAGTTTCATCTTACTTTATTTGTTGTGTAACTATCCCAGATGATTAACTTTCCATCTTGAGAAGCGCTGACTAAAAGTCTACAAAATAAAACACAAAAAGCAGAAATGTAAGTACTAAAGCGAGTGAACCAATTAAAATCAATTCCTTCTATTGCTAATCTAAATTTAATATATTGGAGGACAAAAGGAGAGAGAGAGAGACAGGGAATGAGATTACAGTAAGTGACTCCAGTGGGAAACCTAAAAGTAGCACAGACTCAAAGGGCCAAATCTCTTCCTATGCCTATAAATCTTCCTTTTCTATCATTTGAACCTTTGCTGGGCACTATATGTGTCTTCATTATAGGTGGAAGTGCTTACAGATAGACATAGGAAAAATGCATCACTAAGGTGTCACGGCTTTGGAGAGCTCAGCCAGTCACGGCAAGAATTATAAAAAGGCGAGTAGATGGTGATGCCAGCAGTGGTGCTGTTGACTGGAAAAGCCATCTCTTGAGCATCCACTTTATTCAGAAGCAGCAGCACTTCACATCACAGGGCTACCGTGGAAAGAGAACATTTCTTTATCATTCCTTCTCCCCCAATTTAATGTCAGCATATTTACCTGTATGCGCTGATTAAAAGGAAGAGGAAATGCATGAAAATCCTTGTTCCTACAAAAATGTTTCCAGAGCTGAAAATCTGACAGATTGACAATCCTAAATTCTGATTTTTTTAAATCTTGCGTACCTGCCAACTGCAATATGTTGCAAGTCCCAGAAGAGATTAGTAGCAGCACAAATCATAAAAATGATCAGGACAAATAGCAACCTGAGGGTCAGATATCTCTGTAAACTAACAGTTTGTTCTTAATGTCTCGACAATGAATGACGTCTGAGTAATATTTCCCTTGAAAGTCTTTAACAAACTGCTCATTGATTCAAGCACTAATCCTTCTCCATTAGTCAACAGCTTACGTTGAAAGTATAAAATGACCACAAAACTGAATTTTATAGCAGTCTAAGGGTTAAAGTTGATGTTACACTTAGTTGTGACATAACCCTAAATAGGCAGTACAATTTCAAACCCCTTTCCAAACGGAGTACAGCTTTTTGAAACTTCCTCGCATTCTTGAACTGTGAGCTATTAGTACATCAGACCTGGCATAGACAAGTCTTAAAGACACTTTCAATACAAAGATAAATGTGATTTTAAGAAGTTTTTTTTTAATAAGGGCTATTGGAGCAGGCAGGAGCTTGAATACAACAACAAGAAAATTACATTTGTATAGCGCCTTTCACATCGGGAGGACATCAGAGGGCGCTGGACAGTTACGGATAATCTAGGGGTTACAAAGGAACAGAACATCTCGCGATATCTCTGCCGGCTGAGTAGCAACAACAGCTTAGTCAGGAGACCACAATCATTCAGGCTAACCTTAAATCAACTTTGACCTGAAATTACAAAAGGGCCACTAGATTGTGCAATCAATGCATTTTCAGAAGTACAGGCTCGAGCACTGACCTGGAGTCTGTTCCCCAGTGCATGGCATAGATTTTAGCCAAATGTCCCCTCAGTGTACGCCTAGTACGTAGTTGGATTCGTCCCAATGAATCCAGACCAGCTGTCATCTGGGAGGATAGAAGATTAAGAGGAAAAAGTTGCATTAAGTTATGCACATTATCATCCTCAATAGAAGCAAAACTGTCAAAAAACATATTTGTTCATTAAATCTTCCATTGTTACCTGACCAAGGGTAGAGTCAGCACATGCTTTCCTCGCGTCCTGTAACGATAAAATAATATTCTACTTTAATTAATTTGCCTTCAATACAGGAACAGTAAGAATTACTAAATTAAAACAAATTACTTTCTACAATGACTAATTGAACCCTCACCATAAGTAAGCATTTAGTCCCAGATTTCCTTGTCTTTGCCCATTACCTTAAGGTCTTTATATTATCATTTTATGTACAATTCTTCCTAATCTCATTTCTTCCTGGTTTGTCATCCTTCGTTTCCTGCGCTTTCCATTTACATTGTGTCCTTTTTCAAGCAGAAATAGATCCATCCAAAAGCCCACAATAAATGTAATAAACCAGAATTGTTCATTTGTCAGTTCCTTTCTGATCTCTATGCAGATCATATTAGGAATTGCATTTTCAATTATCGACAATGCGAGTTTCCATTTCTTTGCAGTTTGACCTACAGCAGATTGACAACCTTACCCTGATCTGGTTACGCAGTTGCTCCGGCCTCTTGCCGCAGCTGTTCCAGTTCACTCATTGTCTTGGTTGCGTAAGATGCCACACTATCCACAACAGCCAAAAGTCTATAAAAAGCCAAACAGTTCAGGTCACTTTATTTTAACACAAGGTCACATACTTAGTGTTGTGATCAACAGTGACATTTTATTTGAGGGTTTTCCGTTAAGAAATAGTTGAGCCAAATGACTTTCTTATGAAATGCAACTTAAATCCTACCCTCCCCATTCAACACACAATCTTATACTGAGGGGGTTTACACCAACTACACTGAAACCGAAACTCCAGAGAAATCCGCTCTTCTGCAGCATTTAGAACCATTGGGGGGTGGGAGAGAGTTGGGTTCTATTGTACACACACAAGCTAACAATTTCATTTCTGTGTTCTTCACTGGTTTAGAAAGGAATATTCAATGAGTCAAGATTTTGATCCAGTTGCTGCCATCCCACATATTAATCTGTTACTGCCACATGGATTAGTGCCAGATTTTGCAATCTACATTCACTCCCTCTTCTCCTCCTCCACAATTGCCACGATTGATGCACAAGTAAAGCTTCAAACCTGACAAAGTACCATTTTTCCAGCAGTAATTGTATGTTTTTTTGCACTATATTATATGATGATCAGCCACAGATTAATTACAGGCATGAATCCAGTATCAGGTCAGTCATTCCTGATGCAAAACTGAATTATTACTGGAGCTGTGATATTGGTTTTCTTTCAAAAGAGTATTTGTTTGATGCTGGAAAAATATTATTGAAGAGTATGGGAACAAAGAGAGTGGAATTAGATCAGGTGACTCACATGGGAAAAATATACCAGTGCAGACTTGACAGGGCAACTGGTTAGCATTCTGTGATTGTAAAGTTGAGTTTGTGTATGAGAGTAGTACCTAACAGGATCAGTGGTGATGTTCTGAACAACACGACAGCTGAACTATCCAGGTTCACATGACCTGGAGCTCATAAGAGCAGTATTGGCTCCACGAGACCTGCCCTTCCACTCACAATAAAACACAGCCCCACACATTCCACAATAAAGCCTGGCCTCTACAGAATTCTGAAATTAATAATTGCAAGCATGTCCTTTTTTTTAAATAAACAGAACACTGTTAACTCGTACATTAAAATAATATAAAATAGGCAGCCCTTCTTCTACAGAAAAATCTGTCTATGCTAGAACAAAACTGTCCCTGCCTGCAGTTTAATATTCTTCAACCACATGAAGAGCACTTTATACTGAAGTTAACTGCAAGACAAGTCTGGGAGTACATCTCACTTGAAGACTGCAAGTCAAATTATTAGAATTAGTATTTAGAATTAGAATTACTATTACACTGAACAGAGCCACCTTGTTTCCCCCAGAATTATTAAAATGGTGACTTCTGCCACGGGCTTCCCTCTTGACAAACAGGAAGCTGGGCTGGGCACAGCCTCACTCACTTTAGCTGAGTTTCTATTGTTGCACACGCACGCTGGGAAAGGTTTTGAAATTAGGTGCCTTCAGTAAAGCTTAGAAAAACAGGAAGCTACAAACCACACCTCTTTGCAGCTGGTAGCAACTTAACATAAGCAACAGACGTTCTTAGATCCTTTCTGTTCTGCAGGACTGGAGTCAGGCTGGATGAGCAGTCAATCTCACCATGTATGGAATTCTCCTCATGTTAAAGTCAGACGTAGACTAAGACAAGATGATAGTACATCTGGACGTTGAGCTCAGTCGAGTCTGACAATCCAGAGTGGTGTTGGGGAGCAGAAGATCAGAAGTGCCTTCTTTCAGATAAAATGATAAACTGAGATTGTGTCTGCCTGTTCAAGTGGATGTTAAAGACACTATTCAAAAAGAGTCTCTCCTGGTGCCCTGGCCAACAATCTACCAGATACAACCAATGATTCAGTCCATATTTGTAGGATATTGGTGTGCACAAATTGGCTGCTGCTCAGAAAATAAATTTGCCACTTTCTACAGTAAATCCTGTGAAGCTCTATGTACACCAACAACATAAGATGTTTTATCCAGTACAATAATTATTTATCTATTATAGTGCACTATAGCATTTACATCCTTGATAGCATTTACATCTTCCTCTGAACACTCTTCAATCCATTTTCTGCTGTTTTTCAGTCTACAAGCTGCTGTTCATCATTAAAACTACCTGTAAACGTGGCACAAAACAAATCTGCTCTGATTGCTTGCACAGTTTCGGGATGAGAAACCAAAGTATTAATCTGGTGCAAAAGGGTTAGCTGTGAAGTTCATTAACACACTGCAGACACTGACAGAACCTCCAATTTATCAGAACTTGAAATGCTCAACATACCACAAGCTACTGAACAAACTAGAAAAGGGTCCATCATTCACAACATTTCACTTGTACCAACACCAACAAAATAGTTGTGGAAAAATTCAAATAAAAATGTTATATTCCTCCATGGGTTGGATATTAATATTTTTGAAAATGCATCAAAAATTAACGTCCTCAAGACTAGACAAGAAGTAACAAAACACAAAATACTGCAGATGCTGGAATCTGAAACAAAAACAGAGAGCTGGGAACACTCAGCAGGTCAGGCAGCATCTATGGAGAAAGGAAAGTGAGTCAACGTTTCAGGTCCACGACCCTTCGTCAGAACTGGGGCACATTGGGAGGGAGAGGTTTTTAAGGACAAGTTGAAAGGGGGAGGCAGGACAAGGACAACAAAAAAGACAAAGGAAAGAATGTGTTAGTTGATGGGTTAAAGAGGTGACGTAAAACAAAAGGGAGGTTGTAAACAAAAGGGGGGAGAAGAAGTGTTAATAGTGCAGACAAAAAGTGACTAGTTCTTTATCACAGATATTACAATTAGGTTATCAAATTAAAAGGTTGTAGGAAAACTCAACATGTCCGGACTGTGCAAGAATGAAACTGTCAAATACAATCTAGTCACACTTGTACAGGCAGCCACTTGTCTAAATGGACTTTAAGTAGTCATAAGAATTTAACTTAATGTGGTACACATTAATCCTAGCCTCATTCCTGAAAATACTATCAAGCCTTTTTTTGATTACAAGACAATTTCCAAACTCAATGATGTCTTTGAGAAACACAAGCTATGGCAAACAATTGAAACATTCATCCAATTTGAAGGGGTTGGGCCATTGCCGGCTTAGTTATAGGCCGGGCCAAGAGAAGTGTGGAAATATTTGTTTGTCTGAAATTGTAGGGAGATTTGCAAATTCTCCAGAAAATTGCAGAGCAGGGGACTTTTTGACAAATTTTGCAGAAAATTGCAGGGAGTTGATTGTGCTATTGGGGTACATTTTTTCACTTTGGTGATAAAACTAAACACGAGGAAATAATACATTAGCTTGTTGCAAAAAAATATTAATTGCTTCTTTAACAAAAACTGGGTGGCCCTTTTTTTTTGGGAGGGGGGGGGGGGGGACACCAGCAAGGCTAGAGGAGCTCATCACCTCCTGCCGCTCAGGGTCGGTACCGCACACAGACGCAGAGACCCAGCTAGAGAGAGAGAAACACACATTCAGAGACACACACTCTCAAGAGACACAGAGAAACATACACACTCAGAAACACAGAGAGACCCACATTCTCAGAGAGAGAAACAAGACACACATACACATTCACACAGATACTTATAAACACACATACGCACACACATATAGGAGACACACACACACTCACAAACGCATAAATACGTTATGATAGTTGATAAGACAATTTTATTTATTTTAAAATTCTGAATCCAAAGAGAAAGTTTCATATCTGATTTGCATTATATTCAAATAGACTAAAGCATTTATCCACTATGTGTTAGAACCCTGCTCTGGTCAAGCCACAGACTGTATGTACCCGTGAGTATTGCTGAAGGGAAAAAAAAAACAGGAAATGTCACTGAATTTTTTAAAATTCATCCATGGATTCAGTCATCTTAGACAACGTAAGAATAAAGAATTTCTACAGCAATTACAAGTGAGCTGATGTAAGGGGGCAAACAACGAATCCAACTATATTTAGCTTGTACCCTTAGGGGGAGACAGAATTAGTACAGTACCAGACAACGAGCATTATAATGTGGATATAAAACATTTCAAGTTCTACCACTCAGAAGGTCGTTAAAGAGAGACCGTTATGCATGATGGGGGGTGGCATTTCAACACAATCACAAAGTTGACAAGGTATTGTATTGGACATATTCAGGGTTTTGAGATGCCTATCCTAGGTAAAGGTCGCGACATAAATGCAAGTTGTTGCAAAATGCTCTTTGGACCCCAAAAGGATTTAATATTTGGGATTGATTCCAGTTTATCTGATCTGCTAAATTAACACATTCTGCCCATCTCCCAAAACATAAAAATTAACCAGCTAAGAATAAATCTTGTATCTAGTGGTTTATGGCAGATTACAGTTCATACCATCTGTTCTATTGGAATAAAACCCATTTATTTTTAAAAACTGATTAATTGTCTTGAGAACAATCGCAAAGCGAGGGATTGAAAGTCAATAAAACTACAATTGTTTAAACCGCACAAAAATCCGCTCCCCGATTACCCCAGTCCTCCCCAGACTGCACTGGCTGCCTGTCCCAGAGAGGATCGACTTCAATATCCTCGTCCTTGTATTCAAATCCCTCCACTCCTCTGCACCCCCCGACCTCTCTGACCTCCTCTCTCCTCAAAACAGTACCCATTGCCTTCGTTCCACCGGGTCTGACCTCCTCCTCGTCCCCCGAATCCTCCGCTGCACCCTCGGCGGCCGTGCCTTCAGCCATTATGCCCCAAGGCTCTGGAACTCCCTTCCTCACTCCCTCCCTTCCATTTTCAGGTCTCTGCTGAAGACTTTTCTTTTCGACCGCGCCTTTGGTCACCTTCCTCCCCCTCGGCCCCAGGATCCATTACTGTGAAGCGCCCTGAGACGCCGTTCGGCGTGGAGGGCGCTATATAATCAAAGTTGTTGTTGTTGTGACAGGAAGCTGGTTGGGGGGTAGAGAGAGTAAGGTGCAAGAATGAGTTAGTACATTGGCAGTTTACCATTGGGGCACAAGTTCAAATCCAGCCAAGACATATGGGT